GCTAGCCAGGTGATGCTCTTCACTTGAGCAACACCCAAGTTCTTTTTGCTGTCGTTGTGTTTCAGATAGGCTCTCACACTTTTGACCATGTGGCATTGAATCATGGTCCTCCTCCCTGCACCTCCTGTGTAGCAGGGATTACAGGTGTGAGCCATCATAACCTACCTCTTCTTCATGTTTTAGGGCAGCAAAATCCTCACTTGGCCTTGGAGGCCAGGCAGCCGTGGGTGAAGAGGCTGTGTCAAGGCAGTGGGGAGTGGTGCTGACCACTACCATGTGAGGATACAGGCCTGATTTAAACACCCAGAAAACACCCATGGGAGCACAGTAGTTTGCTCCTGAATGTGCCAGGGAACCTCTGGTTTGTCCATGGTGTTCCCTGTAGTCCTCACTCTAATCCTGCAAGAAAGATATTGCCTGGTACTAGCCACCCATTGGACAGATGAGAACACAAAGACCTGTATGAGTGTGGGCTTTGGAGCCCAGACGTTTTTGTATCAGCTCTTCCAAAGTGATCCATAGAACTCCTGGTGCTGCTTTGGTCTGTTGTATGTTTGGGCTGGGGAGGGGGCTTTGTAGCGAGGGAAGAAATCCATGGCTGAACAAGCCAGCAGCTATTTAACAACACAGGCACCTTGACCAGTGTGCTGCCCATTTCTGCATCTGATCAACTCTCCCTTCCTCCAGCCAGTGAGTATTCTGGGAGTTTTGTTGCCTCCGTAGACTAAATGAATTCCTTCCTTTCTTCCTACCTTTCCTTTGTGTGTGTGTGTGTGTATGTGTTACTGGGGTTTGAATTCAGAGCCTTGCTAGGTGGTTGACCTACCACTTGAGCCATGCCCCCACTGAACTTCATTCCTGATTGGCAATCATCCCCTTACAGAAGATACAATCCCCACACAAACTTGAAGCCCTAAATTCAGCAATGAATTGAGAGGCACTGATTTTCTAGATGGGAACTTCCTCCATGGTGCTGAAGAGCAAGATGCTTTCTCTTACTCTGAGGCCCTGTGAGGACACCAGTGATTAAGAGTTTGGTCTCTGCCCTGGAGGTGCCTGTCCCAGGCAGAGGGACAGAGAGGAGGACAGATGATAAGGACAGTGAGGACAAGGCAGAGAAAGACAGATCATCAGTTGAGGCTGGATGAGCTGGCCAGAGATGACTGAATGAAAAACAAAATGGAAAGCCACGAAAGCAGGAAGACATCCCTGGACCCAAGGAAAGATTAAGAATTTCATGTCCCTCCAATGTGTCATTCATTCATCCAATCTGTACTGAGAGCCCTGCCACATGCCAGCCAGTGCAGTGGATGTAAGGATAATGTATTGAACAGGACATAGATGTGCCAGCCTTTATCTTCCTGGAATAATTTTTGCATTTTCAGTTTTTGCACTGTATTAACCTTCCTACCCCTTTTCCCTGCCACCTCCCCACTCCCTCTGGTACACAGGGAGTTTCCTTGTGGTATTTCCATGTATGTATGTATGTATTATAATTCCAATTGGTTCATCTCCTCTATTTTTTCTTCATTCTACCTTAGTCCTTTTCGAGGGGCAGGGAGGGTGAATTCAAGTGTGATGTATTTGATATATTGTAAGAACTTTGTAAATGCTACAATGTACCCCCCACCCAGCACAATAAAAAAACAAAATGTGCCAGCCTCATGGAGCTTACTCTGTAGAGTGGAGGTGGATTGTTACAGATGGTGAAGTCAGTAATGTAATTCCAGGTAGTTGTAAGGGCTAGGAAAGGGGTAAGCTCTGTGGAGGAGGCAGGCCAAGCTGCTCAGCCATGCTGAGGGATGCAGTTTGAGGCCAAGAATACAAATGAACTTGAGAAATGTGTTTCAAATAACAGTTTGGCCTCCCTTTATCTTCTGAGTCTGGAATCAGCAAACCACTAATTAATTTACAGGCCAAAACACAAATCTCTCTACCATCTTTTGGGTAATGTGAACTAAGAGTAGTTTTTATATTTTTAAACAGTAGAAAAAGATGAAAAGAAATTTTGTGATACATGAAAATCCTATGAAACTGAAATTTAGTGTCTAGATACAGTTTTAACTTATTACCTGTTCTGCTTTATGTTTCAAAAGCAGAGCGAGTAGTTGCAACAGAGACCATGCGACTTGCAAAGCTATAAATATTCACTATCTGGCCTTTACAGAAAGTTTGCCAACCTCTATTCTAGGTCACCCTAGTACTTTGAAAGGCCTCTTCCTAATCTGTACCACTGTACACAGAAGAAAACCCCAGTGTCCAAGAAGATATGGGGTGGGGCTGGGAACAGAAAGCAGAAGAGAAGTTTCTGTTCACTCCATGCGTCTCCTAGGCTGTGCCGGGGCTCTTCTGATGTGGGGGCTGGAGCAGAGACAGGGCTGGCATCCTACTTACTGAATTAGCTTCCTGCTAGGCGATCCTGTGAGAGTGAGGCCAGACCAGTCTTTAGAGAGTTTAACTCAGTATTTTCTAATGCAGTGAGACAGTGGGAGTCTGTTTGCTGGCACCCAACCCTATTTATTACGAGGAAATCTAGCCGTGACATACTGAGCAAATACAAAACCAAAAATCAGGTGCAGATCTACCATCCTGGTCTTTATATCAAAACATATGTGTGTACTTTCACCTGAGTCTGACCAGACAGGTAGCTACCTAGATATTGAATCCCCAGAATGGCCACAATGGGTGACTGTCTACACTGAGATTTGGGGCAGTATTTTTGTTTTTTTACCTTTCTCCCTTTTTTTGTTCTACAGGGTTTAAGAATAACATGAATCATCTTAATGTACACAGAAAAGCCCAGCGATTCTCATTTCAGAATTTGAGAACACTGCCTCCACATGTGGGTGATAGGAGCATTTATGTGGTTGTGATGTAACTGTAGAGAAAGCCCCATTCTCACATAATTCATGGCTAACTGGACCAGGGTAGCGGGTAGCTCTAGAAAAATGAAGATAAATAAGAACATGGTAGGAGGTGAGAGAAGATGGAGAAGTTAGGTCATCATTGTGACCTATAGAATGTTCCCAATATACAAACCTCCTTGGATTGCTAGTAATATTTGGAAATAGGAGAGTGTAGATCTTTTCTGATTTTTTTTCCCCTCTCTTAAACTACTCTTAAGAAACCTCTTCCTAGGTTGGGCTATTTAAAAATTATATCCTGGTGCCACCTAGTGTCAGTGCTGTGTCATTGCACCCTTGGTGGCTGCCTGGAAGCCTCCCTGTAGATTCTTTGTTTGATGTCCCTGCTCTAGTGGCATTTCCACTGCAGGCAGCAAGATGCCTCCTGGGGTCCTGCAGGGCAGTGGAATGCCTCATTAATTTATCCCTTCCTTCCTGTCTCAGCCACACAAAGCACATCTCTCTGATGGAACCATGGTACGGCAGCTGAAGAGCAAAAGGGTGCCTCCTTGTCAAAACCCATCTCTGCGTTTCTCTAACAGCTACGTCCTGACAGCAGGCCCCTGCTTCCCTAGCAGACACAGAGCTTTGGGTCTGGGGCTCTTGGGTGGGAAACAGGCACATCTGGCTGGTGGTGGGCTGTGGCATACAGCTGGACTCTGGAAGTGCCCATGTCAAAACTGAGCCCTGGTTCCCACAGCACAAGCCTGCATGCCCTCCCCACTGTCTCCCCCACCCCTCTCCTCTGTTTGCCTCCCTCAGCACTCCATCCCATAGCTCCAGAACCTGCCGTTTTCCTGCCCTCGCCCCCCTCCCAGGTTGTTCACAGTACATCCTGACAGTTTCCCTCCTGCATTCTTGGGTCTTCTACACTCAGCTTACACTCAACGACACAACCTTGTGTCATTTTCAGGTGAAAGGTCAGAATTTGAATCCAGCCACCCAAGGCCTCACTCTAGCTGTACCTGTCCCCTCACTAACCCTCCTTATTCTCTACCTTGTTCCTGCCCTCTGATTTTGTTCAACCCCCCAGCCTTGCTTCTGTGGTCCCTGCTTCCCCAACTTCCACCCAGTTCTTTTTCACACATCTCTGCCCTGGGCCAACAGGCTGAGTCAAATCCCCTTCTAAAATACTTCAAAAATACTGTGCACCTCTCTGACCCTCCCTCCATCCTTTCCAGCCAAACTCAAATTCAGAATCTGCTATGCATGAGTGATTCTTTCATGAATCTTCATTTTAGACCAGTGGTTCTCCACTGAGGGCAGTTGGCCCTGCAGGGGACACTTGACACTGTCTAGAGACATGTTTGGTTGTCACCTGATCCAGAGAAAGCCATCCTTTCTATGTATGCCTTTGTGTTAAAGTTTTTTTAGAGTCTCACATTAAATTGTATTTATTTATGCTCTGTTTTCAGTAAATTTTCACCTATAGTTTTAGTTAGTTGAGAACTCTGCATGTCCAATAATTTCTTTGGGAAGTCTGTCTCACAGAAAAAAAAAAAAGGCCAGATGGAGCGTGCTGTATTAAAGGAGCCTAAAGTGTGGGTGTGGGGAGCAGCTGCAAGCGATCTTTAAGATGAGGGGGGATATTTGAATATAGACGAAGTCTGAGTAATACTATTGAGTACATGATTTACATGATGTATGTTATATGAATAGAATACATGGAATGTATGGAAATATCGCAATAACACCTCTCACTTTGTACAATTCATGTATACTGATGAAAATAATCAAAAATAACACTATCGATTGAACATTTCACTTCTTAGATATGATACTGGCCTTCTGATTATGGGACAATGACCTTATTAACAGATGCAGGCCAGAATATTTAGGCCTGAAATAAAATGTCTGCAACTTGCTTTCAGTGGCTTAGCTGAAAAACAGTTGTGTGGTTATGTGTGGGTGTAACCAGTAAGGAAAGGGATGGAGAAGAGATGTGGCAGAATGTCACTGGTAGATGGATTTAGGGGCAGGTGGAGAGGTGTTTTCCCTACTGTCATTTCTACTTCTCGGGGTTGAAGTCTTCAGGGTGCACAGGGGGATGGCGCCCTGTACTGGAAGCCCCCTGAGCTTGGCTGTGTGTGTCTCCAGTCTGCAGTTCTCCACCCATCCACATGAAGGTACAGCCTCTGAACCAGACGGCACTGCAGGTGTCCTGGAGCCAGCCAGAGACCATCTACCACCCACCTATCATGAACTACATGATCTCCTACAGCTGGACCAAGAATGAAGATGAGAAGGAGAAGACGTTTACAAAGGACAGTGACAAAGACTTGGTAAGAACACTCATTCCAAGTCAGGGTGCGGGTTCCCCTTAAAGTTCCGAGGGGGACTCTCTGTTGGACCACTTTGCCAGTCACTGTGCAGTGTGCTGTGTGTCATCCCGGGCTGTATGTTGAGTGTGGAGCCCACCTGGACTCCATGGTGACTCTCCACCTACCTGCTGAGAGCGTGAAAAGTGGCTCACACCCTTCAGACTGACTGCATTTGCTTTCTTTATTAACAACCAGAAAGCCTCCCTTAGGCCTTTTGCATCTGATCAGGTTTTTGTGGATAATAAGCATATGATGTAAATAGTAACTTTCTGTTATTAGTTATTCTACCTCAGTTGCTATCTCTTCCTCCCCTGCTACAACAATGACTGCTGTTGTCACCACTGCCACCCTGCTGTCTACAGTCCCCACCACTCCCTCAAGTATCCTTACACATTCCTGTTACCTGATGGACTCCTGTGGCCAGGTCCTTTTTTTTTTAACCTCTATTCTCTGACTCTTAGACACGGTCATATCTGACCTCATTTTTAACTCTACAGGCCCTAGTCAGCTTCTTTTCAAACTTAAATAAATGTTTAGCATCAGACATCACCCAGGCTCTTCAGAGCAGACTTTGTAGAAGCCACCTTCATCTTTATCACACCATGTCCTAGTTTTATGTCTTTGCAGAGAAACTCAAAGTGACACGTTTGGGTTTGAAATCTCGTGTATTTATCATTAATTAAGGAAGACCATGGAATAATGAAACCTGTAATCATATATACATGTGAAAAATGCACTGATACTTAATAACTGTTATCAGTTTTTTCTCCCACTCCCAATACAGAGTCCTCAGGGCTTATTCAGTCAGTTTAGAATAATACCTTTAGATGAAGATTCTTTTGCTTCATTTCCATTTATATTTTTGATTTCTCAACTAACATTTTTATCTGGGTCACATTAGGGAGTGACACGCTTCATGAAATCAAGAGAGGAATCTATTGAAAGGCACCCAAGGTTATGATGTATTTTAACCTTAATCTTGTCACCACTGGAAGTACATAAGGGATTTTCCTCTTTCTTTTTTTTTTTTTTTTTTAATGAATACCATTTGTATAATTTATTGCTGCTTTAATTTTCCCAAAGAATACTCATCATTTATTTATTTATTTTTTTTTTATTCATATGTGCATACAAGGCTTGGTTCATTTCTCCCCCCGCCCCCACCCCCTCCCTTACCACCCACTCCACCCCCTCCCGCTCCCCCCCTCAATACCCAGCAGAAACTATTTTGTCCTTATCTCTAATTTTGTTGTAGAGAGAGTATAAGCAATAACAGGAAGGAACAAGGGTTTTGCTGGTTGGAAGTACATAAGGGATTTCCTCTTTCTTTTTTTGTTTTTTTTTTAATGAATACCATTTGTATAATTATCTGCTTTAATTTTCCCAAGAGATATCATCATTTATTTATTTTATTTTTTTTTTATTCATATGTGCAACAGGCTTGGTTCATTCTCCCCCCGCCCCACCCCTCCCTTCACCACTCCACCACTCTCCCTCCCTCAATACCAGCAGAAACTATTTGTCCTTATCTCTAATTTTGTTTGTAGAGAGAGTATAGCAATAATAGGAAGGAACAAGGGTTTGCTGGTTGAGATAGGGATAGCTATACAGGGCATTGACTCACATTGATTTCCTGTGCGTGGTGTTACCTTCTAGGTTAATTCTTTTTGATCTAACTTTCTCTATTCCTGTCCCCTTTTCCTATTGGCCTCAGTTGCTTAAGGTATCTGCTTTAGTTTCTCTGCATTAAGGGCAACAAATGCTAGCTAGTTTTTTAGGTGTCTTACCTATTCCTCCCCTCCCTTGTGTGCTCTCGCTTTTATCATGTGCTCATAGTCCAATCCCTTGTTGTGTTTGCCCTTGATCTAATGTCCACATATGAGGGAGAACATACGATTTTTGGTTTTTGAGCCAGGCTAACCTCACTCAGAATGATGTTCTCCAATTCCATCCATTTACCAGCGAATGATAACATTTCGTTCTTCTTCATGGCTGCATAAAATTCCATTGTGTATAGATACCACATTTTCTTAATCCATTCGTCAGTGCTGGGGCATCTTGGCTGTTTCCATAACTTGGCTATTGTAAATAGTGCCGCAATAAACATGGATGTGCAGGTGCCTCTGGAGTAACAGTCTTTTGGGTATATCCCCAAGAGTGGTATTGCTGGATCAAATGGTAGATCGATGTCCAGCTTTTTAAGTAGCCTCCAGATTTTTTTCCAGAGTGGTTGTACTAGTCTACATTCCCACCAACAGTGTAAGAGGGTTCCTTTTTCCCCGCATCCTCGCCAACACCTGTTGTTGGTGGTGTTGCTGATGATGGCTATTCTAACGATTTTCCTCTTTCTGAAGTCAGACCAGATTGCATTAATCAGTAGAAACTATCTAGGCGCTTTGTCGGTTTATTGTGCTAAGTAGAAAATAATTAAACATGCAAAGATGAATAGATACCTGCTTGGAGTGAATTCTGATAAGCCCTTGCATAGATGGAGTGAAGATTTTGCTTGGAACAGAAGATGGGGTAAGAGGTTTAGAGAATGAGGCATAAATTCGTTTCAGAAAAAGAGATATAGGGAAAAACATTTGATAGCAAGTTCTGTTTCATAAGTGTCTCTGGGGGTGTTTTTTTTCCTTTTGGGACACAAAAAATTAATTTTCTTAATTCCTCAGCATGTCAAGAGTGCCGAACAGCTTAACAAAGCTGTTCTCTAATTTAGGAGTAGTACTTACTGTTTATGGCATTTTTCAGTCTATATCCCTCTTCCATATTCTTGCCGCAAACCTGTGAGGCAGATGTTATTACCCATCTTTTCCAAAAGAAATAAACAAGGCTTGTCATTAAAGCTGTTGGAATGGATTATTTAGGGATGGTGACCTGGATTTGGCTGGTGGTAATTGATCAGGGGTTGGCAAACATTTCTAGAAAGGACCACGTAGTAACTATTTTAGGCTTTGTAGGTCTTATAGTGTCTGTTGTAAGTACTCAACTCTGGACATAAGCTGAAAGTAACCATAACCGTATGTCAGTGGATGGCTGTGTGCCAGTAAAACTTTATTTATAAAAACAAATGGTAGGCCGGATCTGGCCTGCAGGCTGTAGTGTGCTGACCACTGTGCTATAGACCAATGGCGTTCATTCTGCTGGTTGGTGTGGTCTACCTATAAGTAAGTTTTGCCTGGCCTGTGTCACGTAGTTCTTATCAGAACCTGTGAAGTGGCTGTACCCCTCTCCACTTCACAGTTGAAACAGGCTGGGAAGATAATGAGCAACTGAGTCAGGATCACACCGCTGGAATTTTGACTATCATGACTTTTAGCCTGGTACCCTTCCTTGCCTCGTGTCTCAGGTTACACACAGTCAGGATATAGCAAGACCTTCCAACTGCAAAGATACAGATACACAAGAATGTCTGTCCATATCCTAAAGTCTGTATGGCTCTAGAGATATTTTTTGATCTTTCTAGGTGCCATCTAAGATGAATAATTAAAGTTAGCCAGGCATGCTCTAATCCTAACACTGGGGAAACTGAGGTGGGAGGGTCACAAATGTGAGGCCAGCCTATGCTTCATAGAATATACAATCTCAAAAAAATTACAGCTCATAAGGTATAATAATTATGACAGATGTCCAAGCCATGTGAGTTTAAAGGGGGCTGAAAACACAATCTAAGCCTTAATCAAGAATAATGCTGTTACTTTTCTTATTCTGCATAAAACAAATTCCCAGGCAAGGTCATTTCTGAGCAGTCCTTCCTTCCAAGAGGAGCCTTTGGTTAGTAAGGAGACACTATGTCTGTCAAGCTTTGTCAGGTTTGCTTTAAAATGTAGTGTATGCATTGACTTTCAAAACCAACTCACGGCCTTCTCTTTCTTCCCTACAGAAAGCCACCATTAGCCATGTGTCACCCGATAGCCTTTACCTGTTCCGAGTCCAGGCCGTGTGTCGGAATGACATGCGCAGTGACTTCAGCCAGACGATGCTGTTTCAAGGTGAGGCTGCTTTCCCTCTTCCTCCCATCTGCAGTACCTGAGCCATAGCCTCTCTCCTTGTGCTTTATATTTTTCCTCTTCCAGGGCTTGGGCAAAAGAAAACAAGCCTGGTCTAAGGATCAGTGTAGGATGTAAAACATTCCCAGAAAGTCCCAGGAAGTCAGATCTGTATTTGTAGGTAGAGGTTTCATAGGCCAGGAGAGGGGAGGACAGTGCAAAGCTACTTTTTTAATTGTTGGATTTATTGTTATTTTCTAAGTGTGAGGAAGCAGGTACTTGGGACTCCTCCTGCCCATCCTCTAGCTCTGTGTCAGATCACAAAATCCCCTCGTAGTTATTTTGTCAGCTGTCCTCTTTGGCTGTGTAACATGATTCGGTTCACTATTCGCTAAGGACCTGGAGCCCACAGACAAGCTCCTGTGTGTGGGATCCTTGAGATTCCTGTGATAGAAATATATGTTCCTGGTGACTAGGAGAAAGTTCCAGGGCCAAAACTAGAGGGAAGCCAGTAGGACTTTGCCTTGGCAAAAAATTTAAAAGGTACCAAACAACAACAAAACCATCAAGATCTGTAACATTTTAATGGGATGTTTTTCCAAAGCAAAATCAGTATGTAGATTTCACAAATAAAATAGCAGAATTTTAAGTAAGGATGGGGACTGAGAGTGTAGCTCATTGGTAGAACACATGGTTCCAGTGCTTCTTACAGAATAGGAAGACAGCTTGTGGACCCCAGTTTTCCAACTTGGTTTTATGATAGGTGCTAAGACCACGTGGAAGTGAGGACCAGGATTCTGGACTCTGCTCTACCATGCTGAGGCCCTGCCTGGTCAGAATCTCCTGCCTGGAAAATGAGAAATTTGCTCACCAGGCCAGTGGTTCTTGAACATTTTGAGTCTTGGATTAGATGAAAACTTTGGATCTTTTCTCTAGAAAATGCTAGAATTTTGCATATAAGTACGGGGACCCTGGTGTTAGACTGGCAGCATCTGGAAGCCTGAGAGACATGCACATTCATGAGCTCTCCAAAATCAAGTGCATCAGGATCTTTGCAGTAGGGCCCAGGGGCCTGAGTTTTAGTCTAGCAAGATGGCCCCGGTGACTGACATGCACAGTGAATGGATGAAGAATGCCAGGGTAGAGCTGGGAGTCTGGAGTGAGTCGTGGTATGAGTCCTGGCTGTCTCTTAGCAACTGTACCATTCCGAGAACACATCTTATCTTCTTGAAGCTGCAGTTGGCCAATCCCGAAAGGGGTAGTATTGACAGTAGCATCTTCACCAGGTCCTTGTAGAATGATACAGGGTGACATTTGTTAAGGAATTGGCATAGGGCTAATTACTGTCACTATGTATAAGCTCTTCATTAGTACAGGCTGAGTATCCCTTTTGTAAAATTCCTGGGGCCAGAAGTATTTCACATTTTGGAGTTTCTTGGAGTTGGGAGTATTTGCATATACTTTATGGGTTGAACATCCCTAATTCAGAAATTTGAAATGCAAAATTCTTCAGTTTTGAAATGCAAAATTCATTCATCTGACCATCATATCAGTGCTCATAAAGTTTCAGATTTTGGTTCTTTGGACTAGGGCTGCTTAGCCTGTATTGAGTTTGATATAAAAAATAATAAATGATGACCCCAGGGTAGGAAGCCCTCCAGCCCTAGATACCCTCCAAGGGTCCCTTCTAGCTGGAAAATTTTGCATGTAGCATTTAATTGTTCTTTGCCAATGATCTTATCATTCTTTTTGAACCAGTTGAAATTATCATTGTTACATTTTTTCAGAAATATATCTCACCCACTGTGTCTACCCATACCCTTAAAGGTATTAGCCTCTTTCCCTGTATTGAGTTAGGGCCATGGGCCAAGGCCAGGGCTGTGCTAGCCAAGGGGAAAGAGAAGAGGAGGCCAGACTGGGAGCTTGCTGTGGCCGGGCCTGGCGCTTCAGACACATAAATCATGATTAGGCTTCCCGTGTGTTCTGACCAAGAACCTGGGCTCTGCAGAACTGCCTCTCCTGATTAATAGCCCCTGAGCTGCCTGCTTCTGCATGGCTTTGAAAAATTAAATGTTTATAATATAATGTAATTCAAAGAGGCTCTGTCAGCTGTAAATTCAGGGCAGGGAATATTTCAAAAGTCTGATCACGGTGACTGGTTGAAAATGGCCAGTGTCTCCAGTTGTGTGCCAACTTTCATTGCTCAGCAGTGGACACCCATTTAGACATCTGTGTGCTGGTGTTTATCTCTGTGTACTCAAAAAGGACCAGTTCCTTCCTTTACACCAACCTACAATGGTTTCGGGTTTTCCCTACAGTATCCACGTGAGCACTGTAAAAACCTTAGTCTTTATCAAGGTTATCTCACTACCTCTTCATACTGAGCCATATAGGTGCTTATTAGCCAGAGGGGCCAGTGTCTAAAATTTACCAACTACTGAGTTTTTTAAAAAGAAAAGAAGAAAGCTTAGAAAATCCCACCGAAGCTTTGTTTACAATAATTAGATTTTTCAATAATAAATTACATCTGATTTGGGAGCAGGAGGAAGCCACATAGAATATTTACCTTGTTAGAGTAAATATAACAATATTTATGTTCTGTATAAGATAACAATAAGTCTGTTTACCTCACTGTGGTAGATATATTAGCAGCAAGATTTGCAGAGTGGCTCACAGTTACGGAGCATTGTCACATAAATTATTTCTGAACCTCACAGGTGGCAGCTTATAAAGTAGGTGTTATTTTGCAAATGGGGACTGATGTTCAAGGTGCAAGTAACTTGAGAAAAATCACTCAGCTAACAAATAGACTTTAGTTTTTTTATTCTAAGGCTCAATCATTTATATACAGCAGTGGCCCACCACGAAGAATAAACATTACTCAGAACCCCAGGTCTTCAGCAAAAGGATAGAGAGATTGATGGTTAACTGAATAAGCCATTTTGCAGTTCTCAGCAATTGTGGGGTTCTTGAGGTTTTTTTCTTTGAGCCTAAGACCCATTAGGCAGCCTGACAAAGCCCACAGATCCTCTCTGACAGTGGCTTCAGATAAATAGGTAAAATGCATAGGAAAGGAACCAACTGTATTCAAAGGCAGTTATCAAAATCTTTTAAACAAATTTAAGATATTAGCAAAATATGACCTCATTTTGTGAAAGCAAAAAATGACAAAGGATTTGTCCATTAGCTGCTGTGACTTCTGCACAGTGATAAACAGCAGAGCTATTGTGAAATACCTACCACAACTGTCAGACAGTGCGAAAATATTGGTGATTTCAATCAGAGCCAGAGTCACAGCTCCTGCGAGTGCAGCCAAGGGTAGTCACTACCTTGATCCTGGAAAGAAGTGTGCACCATTGCAGGAGAGCTTAGCAAGAATGCAGATTGCACATTTCCTTGGGACCTTGGATCAAGAGTTAAGCACTCCTGATGTGAGCGATCTATGGAAAGTTAACTATCACCAGGGCGATTACTACCTTGGTGCAGGTAGTTCAAGACTAATGAAAAGTTGAAAGCTGGTGTGCTGATGGAATGGCTATTGAGTTTGTTGGTCTTAATTAGAGCCATTTTTAAAGGGCAGGTAAGGCAGATCTCCTGGGAGCCTTTTTTCCTGTCTTAACGAAGGGAGGTGTATACACCTGTCTTGAGGCAGGGAAGTATCGATCTGTGAGCAACTCAATGATCAGGGGACGCTGTATTTGGTCCCAGGTAAGACCCATGATGGTTGCTTCCTCATCTGCCTTGTTTGACCTGGAATCTAAACAGATGTATTGACTTCTAGATCATCTGTTCTCCACATTTGTCTCTTTCCACATTTTGCTTTCTACCTATGCAAAATGAATACATTAAGTCAGAGGTTGTAAGCTCAGGTGCCTGTGGAACTTGGCAAGGGATATGTGCAATGCAGTGAGGTTTGTCAGTGAGAAATTACAGACGACATGTGGCCCAAGTAATGGGAGACCCAAAGTCCCACCAATATCACCCTGTAGAAACGTGAGCCCAGGCTTGTCAATATTGAAATTTTTCAGATAAGCAAGAAATTAGGATTTTTAGATGAAAGCTACTGTTTACAATGTTTTTAGCAAATTTGGTTTTTTAAAATAAGCTTGGAGAGCAAACAAATATATGTAGGCTAGTTGCCATTTCTGGTTTAGATTTTAAAAAGACCACAGCAGATGCAAGTATTATTTATTTTGGTAATTAGCATTTTTACTAAAGTTTCCGTGCCATGTATGTAGGAGGCAGGTTTTCAGTTAATAGGCTCAGATACTTTTTGAAATAACCACAAAGAAAAAGTTTGACATTTTTTAAGTTATAATATTTAGCCTAGTCACAGTAGCCAAAAAGCAGACTGTCCGTCAACCAATGAATGACTAAACAAATGTGGTGTTGACATCCAAGAGAATATTATTCCGCCTTCTGGCACATTTTGACACATGGATGGTCCTTGAGGACAGTATGAGAAGTGAAACATGCAAAAATGCAAATGTGAATGACTGCATTTATATGAGGTATCCAGAATGGTCAAATTCATGGAGGTAGAAAGTTGGGTGGCGGTTGCCAGGAATGGGGTAGGAGGGAATGAGTTGTTGAAGGTATAGAGTTTCATTTTTTCAAGAAATTCGAAAGACATGGGATGGTGAGGGATGGTTACCCAGAAATATCAACGTCCTTAACGTTACTGAACCATTCATTTAACAGTGGTAAAGATGCTCAATTTTATGCCGTGTCCATCTTCCCACAATTAAAAAAAAATTAAGTTAATATTGTTTAATCAAACCATATGGGAGAACAGAAGTGCGAGAAGAACTAACATCAGAAAGGAGAAGACACAGTTAATATAAAATTGTATTTCCACCTGAAACCAAACATTCAGTCAATACCTTACAGGATTTTAAAACAGAAATAAAGTATATGTCAAAGTAAAAAAGGGAAGTCAGGCGAGAAAGGGTTCAGTTACTAGAAGTTGTTGCATTTTTAAGAAAGGGCAAAAATACTAATTTAAGATAAACTCTTACAAGTTAATGATGCGTACTAGAATCAGTTTAAAAATAGGCAAAACTCTTACCAAGGCCGAACAGCACTGGAGAACATCGATATGTTAAAGTGAGTGGTAGTTGCGCAGGTATTCACATATGCAAAATATAGTTCAACTGTATACTTACAAATCGTAGGTGTTTTGTGTATGTAAGTTGTACCTCAGTAAAGCAAAACTAAAAAATTTTTTAAAGTTTAAATTAATAGATTATCGTAGGATATATCCAGCTCTCTACATGATTTTGCTCAATTCACAAGGTAAGAAGGATTTTATATTTTGAAATGGTTGGGGGAAAAAAAAATCTACCACAGAATAATACTTCGTGACATGGAAATTCAGATCTATGTCCATAAATTTTGTTGGAATCCCAACCCAAAAAAATGGTATGTTGTTTACATTGTGACTTCTTTATTTCTCAGCTAATACCACCCGAATATTCCAAGGGACCAGAATCGTGAAAACCGGAGTGGTAAGTGGTGGTAACAATTGCTGGGTTGCTTTTTCAGGACTGGGCATTAATTTGCATGCAGTTACTATTCTTACCACGAGGTGGCAGTATAATGTTATTGAACCACTCAATGTGAGGTTAAAATATGAGAAAAAATTATATTATTCAGTCTTTATAATTCAATACATTAGAAAAACAACTGTGTGACAACATTAGAGGCTCCTAATTTTGTCAAAATAAAAATCTTGCATATATTTAATATTTTATGATTCCTGGAACCAGACAATACAGAAAATCTTTTCTAAGGCCTTCATTTGGCATATTCTAAATTCAGAGGCTGTCACCAGCTCCAAGTCACATGGATATGCAAATTTGCGTGATCTTGAACTAATATCTCAGTTTTCCTATTCCTGGTACAACTAGTAATCATCATACTAACCCTAATACTGCTGGTAACAATACTAGCCTGAAACTCACTAGGCACTTCTTGGATTTCAGACACAGATTATTTTGTTTGATTTTTCAAAACAGCCCACAAAGCTGATGTTACTATTAATTCACATATTACAGATAAGAAAATCAAGGCAAAGTGAGTAAAAGTAATGTGCTCAACCTTACCCAGAGAACAAATGAGGGGTCCTCCACTCGTGTCCAGGCTGCCTGACTACTTTATCTCTGTAGCATTTGGTTTTCATTAACTGACCTCAGAACTCAACTTTCTCACATGACTGTCTTTAAAAACTGTTGAGTTTTCAAAGTAAAACTTGATGATGGAGTCATGAAATCTGAGTTTTCTGTGAATTGTTTTGAACTGCATAAATGAGGAGATAAGATTTTAGATTCTGTACACAAGCTCGTAAGAACTGAAATTAAACTTACATCCCAGAACAACACTTCCTGTTGACTTAGGATACCTATGTGAATAAAACTCCATCACTGAGCCTGAGTTTAGTATAATGGGAAGAATGAACTGAGGTCTGGACCCAGGCAACCCTGCCCCCTAAGCCTTCCTAGCCATGCATCTTGGATGAGTTCCTTTGCATTTGTGAGCCTCAGTTCCTCACCTGTAAAATGGCGTCATGAACATGCCTACGTCCAGGGTAGCATGGAAAGCCCTGGCTCATAGTTGGCACTTGTTAAATGGAACTGTTGCTGCTGATGGTGACACTGTCGTCTACGTGGGCCTAGATTTTGCCATGGACAAGCCCAGAGACTCTGAAAGGAACAGTGGCTGGACCCCACTTAACATGCAAGAGCAAGGATGGAAACCAGTTCCCAGTGCTTGTGGTGCAGACTGGGGCTCCTGCCTTTGAGCCCACCACTGCAGACCTGGGAAGGCCACTGTCCCTCTAAGTGTACCCATTCCCTCACTGCCAGATGACAGAGTTGGACCAGATTCCAGGGCCCTTCTAGACCTCAGAGCTCCCATGTTCACCTGTGGTGCTGTGGTCACCATAAAAGCAAAGGACTCCTGCCTCTGTCACCCCAAGAACAGTGGCCCATCTGATGTTGCTGGCTGACTATGTCTTCATTGTCTGTTTCTAAGCCAGCTTTTATTTTCTTTTTTGCCACTTAGCCCTGTCCTGAGCAAGTTCACTGGAAAGCTGGGTTGGATGCACTAAGTTTTTAATGTGTTGACAGTAATTGTAAGACCATTAAAGGAAGAGTTGGTCACACTGGATCTGTCATACATAGGCAATTTTTCACACCATAGTTTAGAAAAACTCATAGGATGGATGAACAAAATTCTTTGAGGTTTTACAAAGCAGGGTCTCGTATCAATCCTAATTACTGATACCATTCTGCTTTTTCCTCCTGTCTCTTCTCCATCCTTCCTGGGGATACAGCCCACAGCCTCTCCTGCCTCTTCAGCGGACATGGCCCCCATCAGCTCTGGGTCTTCTACCTGGACGTCCTCTGGCATCCCTTTCTCATTTGTTTCCATGGCAACTGGGATGGGCCCCTCTTCCAGTGGCAGCCAAGCCACCGTGGCCTCGGTGGTCACCAGCACGCTCCTGGCTGGCTTGGGGTTTGGTGGTGGTGGCATCTCCTCCTTCCCCAGCACTGTGTGGCCTACACGCCTCCCAACGGCTGCCGCAGCCAGCAAGCAAGCAGTGAGGCCAGTTCTTGCCACCACTGAAGCCTTGGCTTCTCCAGGGCCTGATGGCAACTCGGCACCAACCAAGGACGGCGAGGGTACAGAGGAAGGAGAGAAGGATGAGAAAAGCGAGAGCGAGGATGGGGAGCGGGAGCATGAGGAGGAGGGGGAGAAGGACTCTGAGAAGAAAGAAAAGAGTGGGGTGACCCACGCCACTGAGGAGCAGAACCAGACAGCACCCACCCCCACCCCCTCGTCTCCCCACAGGACTGCTCAGGGGGGTGGACATCAGACTATACCTTGGCAGGGGCAGGGCCACCCTGCCACTCCCACCAACCAGCCTGGCCTGGACTCTGATGAGGTCATCCCCACCCAAGTGCCCCCCACAGCCACAGAGGATCATTATGCAGGAGGTGACCCCAGGAGGCCTGAAATAACATCTAAAAAGCCTACGTCCCGAGGGGACCGATTTTCTGAAGATAGCAAATTTATCACTGTTAATCCAGGTAAGTGGTACTGGTCTTCCTCGGGAGGGGGGGCCCATGTTGCTGTGAACTGCCAGGGGAAGGGGGGGTTGTGAAGAGTCAAGAGGTAGGCATATTCCTGATGTCAAAGGTGCACGTGTGCATCTGGGCCTGCCAGGGTGTCTCTCCCTATTTTGTCCTGGTCAGAAAGCCTTCCCCTTTTTCTTGGCTGGAGTGTAAGTTTTTCCCTGACATTCGTATCCTTACTTCAGAATAACTCCAAGGGTGTCCATCAGACAGTGATAGAAATGAATAGAAAGACACCGGGCCTAAGAAGTCTGTCCATTAAGATTTCATTCCTTAGTCATTTATTGAGCACACCTATTATGGTGACTTCATTTGTGCCAGGCGCTAGACTGATGCTCTGCCAGGAAAGCCTGATGCTGCCTGATAGTAGAAAGGAAAAGACAAGTGGTTGACAGCAGCTGGCTAGAGCACAGGCCAGGAAAGTAGATAGCAGGGACATTAGCAGGCAAACCAGAAAACAACCTAACTCAAGGTTTTTGTTTGACTGTTTTTTTATTGTTTTTGCAATACTGGGGTGTGAACTCAGGGCCTTGCATTTGCTAGGCAGGTGCTCTACCACTTGAGCCACACCCTAGTCCTTTTTTTGCTTTAGCCTTTTTTCAGATAGGGTCTCACATTTTTGCCCGGGGCTAGCCTCAGACCTCCTCCTGGTTGTGATTACAGACACACACCATCATGCAAAGTTTTGCTGATTATTATTATTATTATTATTTTTGGCCTGGGCTGGCCTTGAACCATAGTCCTCCTTGGCCTTAACTCAAGTTTTTTGATTGTGAGATGTTAGTAGAGGAAATGAACAGGAGGTTGTGTCTTAGTGGAGGGACATTCTGGAGAAGTGCCTCTTCATTGAAACCTATAGAATGGAAAGCTTCACTCTGGGGAGAGCAGGTATTTTATTCTGTGATGGCCCTGTGTGAATTGCCCCATTTATAGGAGGTGAGACCTGTACAAGGCTTGATCCACACTTAAACTTTAATGAACCCCATGATAGTTTCCACAAAGGAGTCATGGCGTGAGGAGCTGCTGTTACTGTTAGGGGCTTTCTTAATAAGAAATTCTTCATTTTGCTAGACTACAAGATGTTTAGCAACAATTTTTTTTTTTTTGCATCGAAGCTGTTGTGGAGTTATAAGAGTGCAAAAAAAAGGCAACTGGTAAATATTTATTTGCTTTTGCACTTGTAAACATTAAAATTCATCTAAAGCTGAGATCTCGTATGTTAAGACACAACTTAGAATAAATTTTCATGTTTTGAATTACTTTCCTCGTAAAGCTGGTATGAACTAATTTTTTTTTAGTAGGGGTCTCCCATGGGTGTTGCTCAGTTTGCCGTGGTTGGTGAGGAAAGGTAAACAGTAGCCTTCTATGGAATTGGGTGAAGGATATCTGGGGCCAATTACGAACATTCTTACATGACTGTGACATTCTCTCTAAGGGATTGCTGTGAAAAAGTTGAATTTCTTGCATAGTAAAGAAATACAGAGCATCCAGTGTGTACCAGACACTGCACTGGACGTTGGGAATAGAGCACAAATCAAGACAAACTTCTGATCTCCTGGTTTGCATTCTAATGGGACAACTCGAGAATATTCCAGTAAACAAATGCATGCGTTTAAATAGCGTTAGTTGCTAGTGTCAAGGAGGGGGACCTTGTGGAGTTGAGTGTCATGGATAACATTTAAACAGAGATGCACAGGGTGAGGAGAAGCTAGCTGTACAGAGATTCAGAGAAGAACATTCTAGGCTGTATGAATAGCAGGTCTGAAGACCATTACAGGAGATGAATTTAATTGTGTTAATAACTTTCGGAAGGCCGTGTTAGTTACACTACGGAAGGAGAGTTGAAGGCATGCATTTAGAGATTGACAGATCTCAGATAAGGAAGAATGTGTCGGCCATGTTGGGGACTTGATTGTACTTGAGATGAGAAACCAGTAGCAGAATTCAACAGGGCTGGTGTGTCGTCTCGTTCGCTTTTTTTAGGAGATCCCTTGGGTCTCTGCATGTAGATTAATTATGTAGGGGAGGCAGAATTCCAGACTGGAGGTAGTATTGATGTGGCTCAGACTACTGTGTTGTTTCCAAAGACAAGGGGGGGTGCATTGGAATGAATTTTCAAACCTGCATGGTTCAACCTCTAGACCAAGGAGTGTGGCACAGTAGCAATTCTCAGGCTGCTCCTCGTAGGCGCGACCTGACCAGACTCCTGAAAATCTGGCGTTAAGAGCTGGGGTTGAGATGCTTTATGGCTTTGGAAGCTGGAGAGGGGCAGCTGCAGGTAAGCGGAAATCAGTTACTGCCGGTGGAGTCAGATTCTAGATTCCATGGAAAGGAGAGAAGAAACAGATGGCAAACCTTGGGGATTCCCAAGTCCATCTTCAACCCCTCAGGTACAGAACATTTACAGTCTTGGCATGAGTGGCTTTTGGAATCCGATCAACCCAGTAGGCTTGGCCCCTCACTCACTCAGGGCCCTCAGGCAAGGTTCTCTGCTCAGGGGCCTCATCTGTAGAGTGGAAGTGATGATAGCTCCTTAGTGCAGAAGGTGAGTCACCCTCCTTGTGGTGACAAGAAGGGGGGGCTGTCACCAGCCCAAGTGCCACACAGTAGCAATGGCAGCTATGAGAAGGTCTTTTTGGCAATTGTCCACAGACAATAAGGAGCACACCAACCCTGGTCCCCAATTAGCTGTCATTAAAAATGTCCTGCAAGAAATCCCACGGACCCAGGCACTTGTAATAAGAACTCCGCCACCCTCAAATGAAGGTTTAGTTCTTCGTAAAGCAGATGCTTCTCAGAAACGTCAGGTAATCTAAATTTGAATGCGGTGGTGGAGATCGTCTAAGCCTGAGGTTGCAAACTTTTTCAGCAAAAGCCCATCCAGTAAATATTTCCAACTTTGCAGACCACAGTTCTCACACCTACTCAACTGTGCTTTATAGCACAAAAGCAGCCATAGACAATACTTAAGTTAGTAGACATGCTTATATTCCAGTAAACTATGGAAACATCCACAATCTGTCACTCGCCAGTGCCTGGCTCAGGCAGAAATACATATATGTCATTCATTCATAATGGATTTGTGTGACCAGAGGGCAAAACCAGTAAGGCCACATCAGTCTGCAGTCCCCATGGTCTCACTCCACTTCCATCCGTTCCTTCCTGTGCCCTGTCTGCCTCCTCCAGCGTGGTATTCATCTTTCTTTAACTGAAATAACCATCATTTTAATGTTTGCAGTGATTTGTTTAACTCAGTTTCACATTTATCTTTTATTCACATTGAGTAAAACCAGTTCTTTGAAAAAAGCAATAATGTTCGGGTTGGTGGTATGGCTGAGGTGGTAGAGCGCCTGCCTAGCAAGTACAAGGCCTTGAGTTCAAACTCCAGTAGCACCAAAAAAAAAAAAAAGTATAATTTGACAAACTATTATATTTTGAAAAGCATCTCCAAAAGGGCATCTTTAAATTCCTTTGATATTTATAGTAGTTGTAAGTGCTCTTTCCTGGAGGAGGAGAAGAAGAAATCCTTCCATGGAAGAAATGGCAAACTCACTTCTGAAAGTCACACAGGTCCTTTCAGTTCAAGGACCAGGTGTTCGGGCTGGTAGAGTGGCTCAAGCGATAAGAGCACTTGCCTAGCAATCTTAAGGCCCTGAGTTCAAACCCCAGTACCGCCAGAAAAAGGACAAGAACCAGGTGTTGAATGTTAGGGAGTGGTGAGGACTGTAGCAAACTAGTGTACACACTCGTCTTTTATCCAATGGCCCACCTCACTCAGTTCCAAGTGACTATTGCCATTGAAATGCCTCATTGTCAGAAATCCAGGTTTGGGGAAAGAATCTCCCAAATTTTAAGTGACTTCAAATCTTTAAAACAATTTTTTTGTTGTTTCATGTGCCAAACTTAAACACATACCTGGGTCAGATAGGAACTGCTTGCATGCATTCATTCTCTCCTGGAGTGGTGGCCCCTGTAGTTAGCACTGTTCTGGAAGCCTGCTCCGGGGGTGGAGGCGTGTGTATGCGTGTGCATGTGTGTGTCCTCACAGTCACTCCCCCTCAGCAAAGCTTCCTCTGGCATCTCTCTAGTGCACAGCCCTCCACCGGATGTGCGGTGCGTGGAGCTCTGGCAGATGGGAGCCACAGTAGCCACAGCCTGGGTGTGGAGACACAGTCCCAGCCAGTTGATGCAGTAATGTTCTCGATGGTGTGTGGTACAGCGTGCCCTAGCCAAAAATTTCAGCTGCACAGAGTCTGCAGATCATCACCATTCTGGGATTGGCCATTTTTGATTCCTCTTTTTTTCAGATTGAATCTTGTTTATATCCCAGCTTCTAAACACTTGTTCCTTGGCAGCTCAGCCCTGAGCCAACTGGTAAGGGGATGGTCCAGGTTAACATGGCAAATGACAGCCTACAGGCCAAATCTCACCCCTAGCCTGCTTTTGTAAGGTCCATGAGCTGTTAGTAGACCGAATTGGAAGAGCCCCTGAGCTGCTTTTCTGCTCTGAGTCAGAGCAGACCCACTCCTCTCCTGTGGGGATACGGTAAAGTACTCTTGGAACACTCAGACTCTAAAGAACACCAACTTAAAATCCTTTGATAATTGAAATAATAACTTCCTCCGTTCACATTTGTTGGGGGCTGGCCCCGCCTGTTCTGAAGGCCATCTCCATTTGCCACCTATCTACAGTGCCACCTGGAGCGCCGTACTGTCATGGTATTATGCACCCAGGCTCAGGAGAGTCAGGAGTGTACCCAGGACATGCTGTGCTGCCTCACTCTGGGTCCAGTACTGCTCGCGGAGTGAGCAAGAGACAGTTTAGATGAAATATTATTAAATGCAGATTTTAGTGTGTTTCTAGGGAGCTACCAGTTTTCCTCTTGGGGCAGAAGTTCTTATCTGGGTGTGTTTTTATCCCTCCCGCGGGGTCGTTTGGCAGTACTTGGAAACATTTTTGTTGTCACTTGGGGGAAGGTTACTGCTGACATCTAGTGGGTAGAGGCCAGGCGGAGACACTGGTGAACACT